AAGCCAATGGAGCATGATGCACGCTCAGTTCACCTTTGTCGGCTTTGGAACGCTCTTTCCTGAAGCGGTAATGTGCAAAGCTTTAAAAAAATTAATTATTTTTTAAATATTGCACATCTTTTTTTGTGTTTTTTATTTTTTTTCGCTAAAGCTCGGTTTAGGTGCCCTTTCCCGTTATGATCACCACTGTCTGTTTCACTTTTGGCGTGTCATCGGCCACTGTCTGGGCATTGAAGACCGCTTTAACCTGTGTGAGGGCAATTCCGACGAAGAGGTGGTGGAGCTCTGTCGGCAGATCTTTCACCTCGACTGGAAGCCCATCATTGAGGGTGGGCGCTCTGAAAGAGTGGGCCAGGCCATGGCGGAAGGCATTGCTTTGGGGATCTACCGCTTTGTTCCCGTGGTCACTTATCGGTCGCTGATGCACTACGCTGCGCTGCACTTTGATGGTTTGATTGACGGAAATGAAGAAGCGTACAGGCTGAACTCAACCGCTGAACGTGTCTACTTTTGTTTGCTCAGTTGGACGTTGAGGGAAATTCCCAGATGGCCAGTTTTATGCTGGGCACTCAGTCGGCTAGTCATTTTTCTACAAAAACTGGCCATTTGGTGGCGAAAGTTTCACGTGGCCACCTTGGCCTGGCGATATCCTTCAGCCAGCAGGTACAGCTACCACGGTGATTCTCGCTGTCCATTCATCATTTCAGACGTCAATTATCGAACTGCCTGGGAGCATCGGTTGACGTAAGGTGACTTTACTAAATAAAAAGTTTGTAATGCAAAGTTTTTCATTACTAAAGTACAATATTAAAGTAAAACGCATCAAATTGAAATAATCTGTAAAACAAAACAGCAAGAGACAAAAACAAAAAAAATGTGGTTATGTCAGCTGTCAAAAGAGGGCAGCATCAGTTGGCACGCTCGCTCCCCTGAGTATTTTGCCGCCAAAGCCGAGCCTCCATGCATTTTGCGTGTTTGTTTACAACAGCAGCCTCTTTTTCCTGCCACTGCTTGAGAAAACTCATCTTACCACCTTCTACTTTAGACTGACATTTCTGTGTTGCTGCCCGTTAGAGGCTGGTACACACATTTTTGGCCGAAGATTCTGCTGACGCATCTCACTCTATTTGTTTATTTTGCAGAAAAACTCACACAAGCACCTCTCTAGAGGATTCACTTGAGTGGACAGAAGCGTAAGCTATAAGTTTTGTTTGCTTTTGATTCTTGTTTGACTCAACTTGTTTTGTAGATTTCACTTTGCTCAATCTCACCTGTTGTTCTCTTTCTCTTAAAAGTGCTTGTTTTGGTGTGTTTATAGTGTGTCTCGCTAAAGTGTGCAGCCATGTCCCAGCCGCAGCAGCAACAGTTGCAACAGCAGTCAAAGATCACTGCTTTCTTCACCTCCCGAAACAGTGTCCTGGCCGACGAGGATAAGTCTTTGGTAGCAGTCAAAGATGCAAAGTCATCCAAACTGCAAACTTTTCCACCAGCTAAACTGCCCAAAACTGATGCCCAACATGTCACCGCCGTAAGTGCAAACTGTTGACTGTGTGTGTGTTTGTTGCGTTTTAGAAAACTAACCAAGTTTTTTTAACTGTTGATAGGATGGGACCAAGAAAAAAAGGCAGCGAAAGGTGACACAACCAAGTGACAACAAAGACAAACGTCTTACACCACCACTACTACCATCATCACCAACAACAGCAGAACTTGTGACGTTTTCTCAAAAAACGCGCTCTTCGAGTCGCCTCAACCGTACAGGTGACCGCGACCTGGCTGCATTTGAGAGCACACTTCAATCAGAAACCTTGACGCTTTCCACTATTACAAGTACACTTGATGAACCGGCAAACTGTCAATCATCATCAGCAGCATCGGAACTAGCTACTGCCCCAAAAAAGCGAGGTCGGAAAAAGCGAAAGTTGGACATCGACGCAACAGAATCACCACAACATCAGCAACTGCAGCACCTTTCTGAAATGCCCAAATCTGATAATGAAAACAAAGGCGCAAATCATGATGATGATGATGGCAAAAATCAGCCCGAATCTGAGAATACAAACGGCACAAACTCAACAACATTCAAAAAGAAGAAGGGAAATGATAAAAATGAAATGAATGCTGAAAATTTGGTAGCTGCAGACGTGGCTGATTCAATCACAACAACTACCGAAATGACACTAAAAAGTACTGCCTCTCTTCAACACCAGCTTACCAGTTCTGATGATAAACTAAAGCAGTTTTCATCTTCATCTTCATCCTCATCTTCATCATCCCATTCACAGTCAGCACAATGGCCGTCGATGGCCAGTTTCTATGGTTCACTAGACCATCAGAAAACTGCTACTAAAGCAGGTGTCACTTCTTCTTCTACACTAGTCATCGCCGCCTCTGCCACTACCACCACTACCACTTATCAACAAACAGCGCAGACTACACAACCGCAACCAGCAGCACTTATTAAAACAGGCGGAAAACTATTACTGACACCAAAAAGTCTGCCATCGTCAACGGTGGACCGACTGAGAACAAAACTTGCAGAAGCTGCTGCTTCTCAGTTTTCTGAAGCTGTTCAAGAGGATGCTGTTGTTGTTGCTGAAAGTAACACAGCTAAAGATGACGATGATGATTCTGCTACAGAAATTGATGAGCCAGAAAAATCGTTAGAACCATCCCTGCCACCAAAACCTTCTTCCAAAACTCGCCAGAGTCGTCGTGGACGCAATTTGAGAAAGTCGACTCGTTTAGCGA